TCAAGAAAAAAAAAAAAAAAAACAGTTTGGGATCAATTTAAATTTTAAGTTGTTAATTACGAATGGTAGATGCAGCGTTTATATAGGCATGCCGTTTGAACCGAACCGAACCGGAATTTTAACCGGTCTAGTGTCACATTTTCAAAATTTATTTTGTTCTCGGTTCAATTCGTCCGACGATCAATTAATTGTTTCTTTTTTAATTTTAAAGTAAACCAATTTATACTTGAAAATAATCATATGTAAAATCTAAAAAATCCGGTTCAACTCGGGTAATAAAATTGGTAAACCGAATTAAGTGAAACGAACCTTTAATTTGTTTCGGTTCAGTTCAGAAGTTTTTAATTTTTAAATTAACCAAAAACTGAACTAACCAACTCCACTAAACCGACGTAACCGAAATTTCACAAAAACTTAAAAAACGGTAGTTTTGTACTTGAAAGTGTTCAGTGACATCTTCTTTGGAATAAACAAACTTATGTGCCAATCTTTGTTGCAAGATCCAGCTTTTGTCTCTATAACAAAAACTGCCAGTTTCAGATTTCATTACTCAGATATGCTCAAATTTAACATGGCAAGAAGTATAAGTATGATTTGCTCATTCAATAATAAGATTAAAGCTACCAAGTGCCAAAGGAGAGTTGCCAAACAAAACGAGAAACTCAACTTATAGGTGCACCCTTTGGTGTATCACTGGAGCTCCTGTGTGACTTGTGCTTCGATCTCTTCTCTCGTTTCTTACTCCTGAGAGAGAAAACGAATACAGATGATAGTCAGCATAAAATATATATATATACTAAGTAGTTAGAAGAACCATAAAGCAGTACTCGTCATGTGAAGAACTATGTCCCAGACATGATTTTAGCTTCCTGTTTATATGCTTCATGTCCTTTTCACTTGGGTACTTATAGTTCTTTACCTGCAAAGAAAAAAAGAGAACATATAGTAAAACCGCATTTGAGTAATGACAATATTAAAAAAGTCAAGTGTATACCAAATTTTCAATGTCATCAAGTAATTTTATAAACTCTGAAGTAGTGTGCTCAGAGTTTGGTTGAGAAACAATGTTCTCTAGGTACCTGCACTACATGAAATTTAGTTGAATAATCCAACCACTAGAAGCTTTCATATAACAAAAATAGAGGCCAAGAGGTAAATAAATAACCTATCAAAGTCAACAACTCCAAGAACCCCATTTGCTAAACGCAAAGCAGCCAACGCCAACTGAGAAACAATACAGAAGTTTGTGATACTTCTCTTAACTATATAAGCAAAACAAAAAGACTCAGAAACCCACCTGGCCAGGAGGAAAGAGGAGTGGAGCATCTGTGAGCATAACTTTATCAGCTTCTGCTGTTGCCGCTTTTAGCAAACTCTGCAAAGTACTTGAAATGTTATGCCAGTATGAGAAAATAAAACTTCAGTAAGGCCCGTTAAGTAACAAAAAAAAGACTTGCAATAATGAAGAGAGATCTACCTCCAGCTTTTGGATTTCATCTTCTCTAGCTTGAAGAAACTCCTAGAGAATGATAAAATAATATCACTTTTGGATACAGTGTGAAGTTAAACAAGGAGGAAAAACTACACACAGAATATAAAGTATTGAAAAGCTTCCTATTAAAGTTCACCAAGTTCTTCCCTTAAAGGTAACACAAAAATTGCATACTGACTCAAAAGGAGTCTCCTCATTATAAAGATGTAAACAGAGAAAACCAAGCTGTATTAGACAGCCAAGATTTTACCTCCATGTTGTTGACAAAGCCTTCGATTGCACGATAAGGTGCATAAACAATCAGATCAAACTCCAAACTCTGCAAATAAAGTTAAAATCTAATATAAACAGAAGAACACAGAGGACAGTAAGGATAAATTATCATGCCTGGAGAACAGCCATCTCATACTTGAGAATAACGTGGTGATCTTGTTTAATCCCCTTGCCTATCTCCTCAGCAGATACATGATTCTCCTCTATTTTACATGCCGCATACACACAGGTTAACCTGTTCAATGGAAGGTACCAAATCAACCTCCTAAATAAGCCAGTCAGAAACTTAAAAAGAAAACTTGACTCAATTTGATAACTTTGAAGACCTATTTTCTAATGGGAAGCAAAGCATGTGCACATTTTTAAGAACTCGGAAAGAAGTATTACATTATTTCTTTTGGATGATGTTGCATAACAGACCATTGCAGATAAAACCTTTTAAAATATTGGAGAGCTGTTGCCTGCAAAAACATCAGAAGGAACAAAAAAACATTGATATTCAGAGAGCTAACAAGATTCGAACATTTTGATTTGAATTTTCAATCTGAAATAAGAGCAAATGAACACCTGAATCTTGTGAGGAAACTCAAAGGCACTACAAACTTCTTGGACCTTTGCCTCATAAAAAGCTCTCATGAACCGTTCTTCATCAACACTCAAAGGCTTAAGCTTCTTATCACCTTGAAAAAAAAACTAACATCATTAAAACATTGAACAACAAAAAACCATAATGATAAAATAAATAAAAAAACTTAACCTTGATCTCCTCCTGCATCAGCTTTCTCTATAGGATAAGTTAGTGATCCACTTGCATCTACTTCAACTTGTGTTGTTCCACACTATGAATAAGAAGAATAAGCTAATTTTTTTTTATCATGAATATAAAATAAAGTTACATATCAACACTTACCTTCTCTAGCAATTGCACTGCCCTATGGTTAGAAGCTTTATATCTCTCTGCCTACACAATTAACAACGCTAGAGCTTACACCAATAATATCAAGAAGTAGACCAACAATCGCACACTCAATTTCCACATGATTTTCTCGGGAATAGACTTTAGAAAAACAATACGCAAATAGAACTTAGGGAGAAGGAAGGATACTAGTTTCTGGGGAGTGAAAATCCACTTGGCTCGTTGAGTTGATGTCTGGAAATCCGCCATTTACTGGAGCGGCTTAACTGTTTTCCAATGATTCAGTGACTCGAAGAGTGTGTGTTTACGTCAGGTTGCGGCGGAGGATGTCGATCAAATTCGCACACGTTGTACACGACGGCGATTCTCGGACAAAAGGATGAACCACTGTCTCAATTTCAATTTTTTTTACGGTTTGGTATTTTTTTCAAAAAAAAAGGTTAAACTACAAAAATACTCGGTCCGTTGCAGTATATCCATTTTATAGATTTTTTTAAAACATTTTCAGTGTAATTTTTATTAGATAATAATAATAACCAATTCTACATTTAAAAAATAATAATTATGTTTATTAAATTTGGTTGCTTAAAATTAATCATAAAAACAAAATATTAATTTTAGTTTGACTAAAATTAATCATAAAAACAAAATATTCATAACTTATAAAGTCTTAATTTCTAATAAAATTTAAATGTTAATATTATGAAATTTTAGTTTTAAACCTTATTTGTTTACATGTTGCAATGATTTGTGACTGTGACTAGTCAAAGGTTGTTGTTCGTTTTAATGTGGCATGACCGATCACACAATCAAGTTGTAGGTCACAAGTCATAGGTTGTTATTCATTTTGATCAAAATGTTTATTTTTTTTGCTAAATTTTTGTTTTTTTTGATCAAAATGTTGCGATCGCAAATCATGATTTAAAGTCGCTAAAAATACTAACAAAGAAAAATTAATATTTTCTGCCAACCTGTAACGTACAACAACATTTTGCTCGGTTGCAGCAATATTTTTTGAAGTGTTTTTTTGACCAAAACAAATTTGACCCAAAAAAAAAAAGAAAATCTTTTGAAGTGTTGGGCTTTCATGTTTTAGGCCTTACGTAATAAAAGCCGAGAGTGAATTTTATTTCAAAGGCTTTTAAGCCTAACCTGGCCCAATAAATGAATAGCTGTGCAGTTATTACCTAGCTAGAACTAAACTAACCTCTTCTACTATCCACATCCAAAAAGTCAAAATAAACAACTCAGAAGTTACTTTTGTCATGTTTTAACAAGAGCCATAATTTGATTCGTGATCCAACCCATGCAAGTCTGAATCTGTCTGTAGATAGGCATGTTCTGAGGACACCGTGGCTCCAAGCTCCTCACTGCTATCTCCATCACCTGAGCCACGTCAGCTGGTGGGTACTGCTTCTCTGCGCACCTCTGCAAATTCTTTCCATTTCAGTATATGTAACAACAGTCATTTATATTTAAACTTTCCTTTTTAATTTTTACCTGAATCATGAGCCAAGTTGAAAGACAAGAGGCGATTAGCTCTGAAGACATCAATCCTTCAGTGTTTGAGGGAGACAAGCTTTGATGATGATTATCCAAGCTGCCATTGGTTTGGTCTTGATGCTTTATACCACACACTATGGAGTTATCTAATGGCTCATGTTCTCCCATTGAGTCTAAAGCTTGCAGAACCACATGACTTGCGTATTTGCCATCCTTTACCAAAGATGAAGCCTACAAACAGCACATAAGGTAAGACTTGTATGACTTTGAGTTCTCTGTATTGTAGATTTGGATACTCTAATAGTTAATGGTAACTACCTTCAAAGCTGCATCCACCATTGCCTGTGCTATTGACCTTGAACCACTAACAATGCCAATCATTTCTGGCTCCATTTCCTATGATGACAGGAGAATTAAAAACAATTTTCTACTTGAATAATAAAATCTCAAGAAAAAAGTTTCCACGGGCATCCAAGTTTCATTAACTTGAGCCTATTTAGTTATCAGTACCCACAAACAAGGCATACATAGTCATTACCTCTCCATCTGAAGTATAGTCCAACATCAGAGCTCGTTGAATTTCACCTTGTCTTGTTTTGTTATTGGCTATGTTATATGATTGATCAGTAGTGACTCGCATGTCCCTATCATCCTGTAGAGACTTATCGAATCATGCATAGAGTTTACCAAAAACGTATAGAAAGAGAAAAAAAAAAAGATCAAAGATTAGACAGACAAGTGAAAACGTAACTGTGTACCTGTTTTTTAGGAGTCATAGAAAAGTCGATATTTTCAAGCACGGGAGGAGGGAACAGAGCAGATGAATCAGAGCTTGGGTGTCTGTTAAGCTCTACTTCTTTGCTCTCGATTTGCCTCCTCAGACCGTCTGGCATGTATTCCACCGGATTTAAAGGCATGATATCACTGTCCTGTCAAATAAAAAAAAGGATTTGTTAAAACATCTTAGATACCGATTCAAGTGTCCACAAGAAGTGATTTTACCATAACTACGTCGACGCCCAAGTCATCAAACATAACGTTGCACTTGTTATGATAAACAGTAAGAATCTTGCCATCACGAACTTCCCGTGTTTTAGGATGGATGGCAATGACTCTGTTCCCCACTGATAAAGGCTGAGCAAAATCTCTAGGAAGCACCTCCCTTGCACCTGCACGCAGCTCTGTGTAATGCTTTCTCGCAGATTCTCGATACTGTTTGAGTTTTTCCCGCTCTTCCTGTATGAACTTCTCAGAGAATCTCCGAGTTCTACCAAGAGAACTGAAAATACACAACAGAATGAGTAACCTTTTGCAAAATCTTTACATATTAAAAAATTACAGACAAGGAACTTTTAACAAACTTTTTAATGACGCTCCATTCAAGACGAGTAAGTCTTGGAGAGTGATCAAGACCCACATGATTTAGAAAATCAATGAACTCCATTTTTGCAAACCAGGGGTAGTCAATAGCACTGTAGAACCATTCATATATACACCTTCGACGTACCAATGGACATGAGAGAGAAGTAGAAACTTGCTGCTGTGAATGGAATAAGCAAAATAAGTTACCAGATTTTGAATGAGTTTAAGAGAAATGAAAGTTTGAGACTCTACCTTTAATAACTCATGTTTTGAATTAGTTTCGTATCTATGTGGCTTATCATAAGTGGCTTCAGAAGATTTAGCTCTTTCTTGTAAACTTTTCTTCAAACTCATCTTACGCCTGTTTGGTGGTTTCTGCAGCAAACTCGCTGGACCCGAACCTGAAACTTGTGTAGCTGAGATTACTGCATTTGGTCCAGTTATTTTCTTTTCACTAGTTGAGGAAGATTCTTCTGAGGTCTTCGCACTGGGTGGACTTTGATCAGCACGTCTCGCTTTGATTATAGTCTTCAAATTATCATCTTCACACGATTCCTGCTTTACAATAAAGAAAATTTACTTAAGCATAAGCCATAAGCTTTTTGATGGAAAGACTTTGTCAAGAACCCTACAATTTATGGACGACCAACCAAAGATCACAGAGTATAATCATATGCATATATGTCGATTTTCAAAATACCTTATTATGTAGAGTTTTACGTTTTCTTCTTGAAGAGCCAAGTTCCCCAATGGAAACAGCATTTGCATCAATGATTTCTTGCGCAGGTTTAGGTTTGCTAGCATCTTCAGGTGGTCCTGCTTGTTTTGGTTTTCGTCTGTGATAGCTTCTGTGAGGTTTCTCTTCCACGTTGTTAGCTATTTTGTCTTCTTTCAACCGTGGAGATGATTCTAGATCCAACACAAAAACATTAGAAATAAATAAAGAGATGTGAATGGTCGAAGGTGACAGCTCGCTTCTTCTAAACACAGACAATAAATAAAAACATTCATTGTTCACCTGATTCCTTCAAACCATCAGGAGTTAGTAAAGCTAATTCAGCCAATACATTCAGAGCTTCTAATTCACCTGCGCAGGAAGAGACAAGCAATAAGTTTCAGATTCTGATATTATTGAATTCTCAAAAGATGAAGCCTCTTAGGTTAATAAGACAATGTGGTATAGATAAGTAATCAATATCACTATGATAAAACTAAAACAGGATTACTATTGAACCTATGCGTTTTACCTCCAGATTTGCTTCCCTCATTGGCATTGGATGCATCTCCTACTGCCTCTTCAAATCTCACATTTTCCTCCTTCTGTGGAACCTCCACGGTCCCAACCTCTACCGTATCCATCAACAAGGCACCATCTCTATCAGGAGTGCCCTTGATATGCCTTCTATCTCGGCTAATTCTCACCACATTCCTAGCCATGGTACTAGCACGGTGCTTGGATTGAGCTTCCTTTTCTTGTGACTGGGCAAAAGCAAAAAAAAATATATTAGATTTTTGTGTGTTTAATGATTCATGACAATATGATAAATTGTTAGAGTTAGAAAGATACCATTTTTCCATTTGGAGTGGTGCCATTGACTTCTGGTCTTCTATATGGTGACTCTCCTCCCCTTCTCGCTGCATTTGCCAATGCCAACGCTAATGTATCGTCGTCCTCGGCCTCAAGTTGCTTCTTGGCTCTTTTATTCGGTGGCATGGAACTTTCTTTATCATCCCTCTCGTCATCACTTGGTACAAGAAACCGAGGTGTACGTTTACCAGTGGCACGTCGCTCTAATCCTGCATAACGCAAAGTAACAAATCACACATTCTTGAACATATTCGTTTCCATGTATCTGTTGCTCTGCTACAGAACTCCACAAGACAGATCTTTACCCTATAAAAGGCAGCTTGTTGTTCATTAACTCAACAATTTAAACCGCATAGTAATCATTTGTTTAGCATCTTTTAAGCCATAAGAATTTAAAAAACTTAGTTGAAACTAGATTTTACCATAAGTTTGTGTCCGCTTCAGAAATGAGAGGCAGCCTTCCGTTGATGCAACTGAATGCGGTGGAATCATTTCTCGAACATCACTAGACGGAAGTTTAGCAAGTTTGCGCTTCTGATATTTAATCGATACAACAGAAGCACCATGGCCTTCTTCTTCTTCTTCTTCTTCTTCTTCTTCTTCACTTTCGCTCTCTTCCTACAAACATTACCATAAGCATGTAACAACTGGACCACAAAACTTTACTAAACAAACAATCTGAACCACACATCTCTCCATGTAAATATAAAACAAAAATTTCACAACTTTTAAGGTGCTAATAAGAAAAATGACTCACTATGACGCTGTAATGATCAGTCATCATTGCAATGAGGCCAACTACAGAAGCAGTTCCTTCGGGCAGTGATAAATATGCCTGAAAAGAAACGACAAAAATCAAATGAATGAAAATGTATTCATGTTAAACATAATAAGTGAGAAAGTCTTGTATTCATACCCGATTCATATTAAAAAGAGCCTCCACCATGTCTACAGACCGGTTATTCCGCACTGCAGCAGCTACCTAAACCAGTTTCCAGTGACAACAAGTATTAATAACTTTGAGAAAGTACCATACTGTGCAACACAGCTTACCTTTCTCCAGTCTCTCCCATGCTTCCTATAAGCGTCATAGAAACGCTCAAGCTCTCCTTTCGTCCACTGAGGTCCCAACTTATCAGTCAATCTCTTCATCTGTCATAAGTACAAACACATAGTCAACAAAAGAACACACTAAGACAAGGGTGGAAAAATCTCTCAAATCTCACTAAAGATTTTGAATCTCTGTTGACTCCTAATAACATCAAAGTGACTAGATTTTGGTTTAAAAAAAAAAAAAGCTCACTCTTTGCTTGGTTTTGCTAGAGTTCCTTAAATCTTTCTCAGGAGAAGTTTCTTTGGTGTAACGTTTGTACACACTCTTGGACGTCCTACTAGGCGCCATACTCTGATCTATCTGCACAGTCATTCCAACCAAAAGTTCAAATTGTTAGAAACTAAAGGAAAAACTGATCTGATCTTTGCTCTCTCCAACATAAAAGATAACAACTTTACTCACAAATTAGCAGAAACAACGAAATCAAACAAAAAACCCAAATCCAAGAATTCAAAAAAAAAAATCAAACTTTGAATAAAACCCAGATTCAGATTCAAATACTCGTTACAAAATATAAAAAAAAAATCACAAATTTCGAAATTAATCAAAAACTTCAAAATCAAAACAGAGACTAATCCACAAATCGAAATCCAATTTCGCCACAAGGTGAAGTTCCAAAGAGATCCCAAATTAGTTCGATTAAAACCCTAATTTCATAAGAGATCCACTCACCAGAGCTCAAAAAGAGAATCGGCGTTGAATCTCGACAAAGAAAGAACTCTCGGAGGAGAGAGAAAAGCTCGAGAAGCTTCTTCGAGAGAGATCGGTGACGAAAGAGATGATCCTAGAGAGAGAGAGAGAGAAGAAGGATTGTTTAGAGAGAGAGAGAGAGGCGTTGCCGCGAAACTTGAAATAAAAAGGACGACTTTAGAGACTTTGATGATACTTGAGAGAGCCAATAGGCTTTTTTTTTTTGTTTATTTATCTAGAGGTCTGTGATCTTAAACGACCACGTGGCGGCGCAGTTTATGGACCGTTGGATGTTTTTTGAGTTTCGTTTAGGGTTTATAGTAACGGCAACATGGGATAGTATTTGAAAAATACTCTGATTTTTTTTTTTGTAATTAAAATATGTAACAAAATAGATAATGACGCTGGAAAATGGAATTTTTATTATTCAACTCGCTTACTTTACTTTGTAATATATTACCTTATGTAAATAATGAATCTAACTACAAATAATTTTGAATTTCGAACTTTTAGCGGAAAATAAAAAGAGAAATATTTAAGACTTTTTTTTTTGATAATTGAAATATTTAAAACTTAGATTGATGGCCAACGGTTTTAACTAAAATACTATTCATTTATTTAAATTAACTAGAATCTAAGGAAGATTTATTGGTCAAGTAAAGAAACATATACAAGATATATTGTTTTGAACAAAATATACTAAGAGCATCATTCTCAATAGTTTTTAAAACGTTTTCTACCATTTAAATATTTTGAAACATAATTAAAAAAAAAAGAGTTTTTCATGAGACTAACAAAAACATAAAAAAAAACTGATAAACCATGTGTCACTTTTTCAATGGTCTAAATTTTAAATTTTAGTTACATAATATTAGAAGAGCTATGTAAAAGAGGAGAATACATATTGTATTAACTATCAACAGTGTCACTTTAATGGTCTATCTGTTTTTCCTTTCAATTTCTAATCTAGTAGCAAACTAAGTTTCCAAACAAAAAGAACTCTCATCCATGGTATATTATATTTGTTAGAATCACCTCAAATGATTTCTAGATCCTATTCAAAAAAATATAAATGATATATTTAACGAATTATTTAAGAATTTTTAAAACTTAATAACTATATTTGGTGTTTCTCTTAAAATTATAAGTTTCTAATATAGTAATATTTCTAAAACTTTAGAGTTTTTATCATAATTTATTTATATATTTCTTAAAAAATTCTTTATATTTTCTTATTTTTTTTATATATTTAGAGTTATCACTACACTTATGCTATTAGACAATAAAGAACGTATAACTGATGAGGTGGCTATAGAAACAGCTTGGTAAGGAAGAATAATCCACCCCAGATTCTAGGAATCTTGATAATGGAATTCAAGTAGATTTTGTTCAAACAGTTAAAATATAAGGGTCTATACGTAAATTAGGTTTATTTGCGATCTTTCTAATGAAAATATTTATCCATTTTTGTTGGAAACCCTCTTAACCAAGGAGAAGGTGTTGAAACTTTTAAGTAGGGCCTTGAGGAAAGTAAGCTTAGATGCGTTAGTGAAAAAATTTACCATACCATTTTCTAACTATCCCATCTTTTTCTACCTTTTTCTCTTTTCCCTTCTTATCTTTTCTTTCTTTATTATTATTTTTTTCTATTTTCAAATAGCATGAGACCCACCAATATTCTTTCCTTTTCATTTTTTTCCGTGTCGATCCTACATTATTTTGTGTACAGATCAGATTATTTTTTAAAAATTTTTGGGGTGGGTCCTAAATTTTATTTTCCAAATCCTTTTTAAGTTTTTTCTTTTTGAAATCGTTAAATAATTAATATAGCTAAAATTTATGCAAAAATAAAAACAAATTCTGTTAATCTTGAAATAATATTTTTTTAAACAATAAAATAACAAAATAAATAATTAAATAATATTTTACTTAACGATTAATTTTCAAAAATAAATTTAATAAATATTTTTTTTTTGCTAAACAAAAAAAAAGAAACACGAGGACTTCCCGGAGAAAATAATAATAATAATGATAATAATAATAATAATAATAATAATAATAATAATAATAAAATATTTCTAAAAATAATTTTCTTTAACTAAAATTTTATTTTCTTTTATTTATATAGAAGAAATAAAATTTTAAAAATGATATATTTTATATTTAATCAACAATTACTTTACAAAATCTAATAAAATATGTATTTAATATTATTTACAAATTAAATTTAAATTAATTTAATCCAAAAATAATTTCGAAATTAAATTAATGAAAATTTATATAAATTTTATTTACATAAATATTTCATAATTATAAGTTTAATAAACATATATTTCAATAATATTTTAATCTAAAATTAATTTTTAAATTTTCTTAATTTAATATTTATATAGTTTAGCCTTCAAATTGAAAAATAATATTTTTCATATTTTCACTATTTCACTTTGTAATTAAATTAAAAATATATATAAATATAGATAATATTATCTTTGTTTTATAAATAGCAATTTTGACATTTTTGCTTGTTATGTAAATAGTATCATTTAAGATTCTAATTCAAATTATATCTATTTTAAATTTAATATTATTTTAAAAATACTTTAAGTTTATAAATAATTTATCTGTCCTAAAATATTTTGATTAACATATATGTATTTATTAAGAGCATGAATGCATTAAGATCATTTTTAATCTTTGTAAAAATACCAAAATTATATTCTTCTTTAAACAAAAGGATATACATTATTTTATATAAATTATAAGATTTTATATTATATTTTTATTTGTCTAAATGTGTATGTACTATCTTGTATTACCTTGGACTACTATCTATTGTATATATTTCTATAAACTTTATATTTTGGGTTTATTATATATTTTCATCAGATATAACTTATATATTTTGTATTATCTTCCTCCGGTATATGAAACAAAGAAAAGATCCACTCAAAAACAAAGGTTTCCATCAGTCGAAGAATCTCACGGATGAAGACGAGGACGTGGCATGATCAAGAGAAGGAAGGGCAAAGGTTTGTATGAGTATTTTGAATGAGGAACTACTCTTGCCACCACCGAGTAGTATGAGACTCTTGTGCTTTGAAGTAGTATGTAACCTTGAACTACTAAGAACTACTTTGAATTACCTTAAACTACCATGAAATACTTTAGAATTACTATGTATTAGACATATTTTTAAGAATCTTAATTTTCGTCTTAATAATTATTTTTAAAAGATGTATCTCATATAACGCGATTATACATCCATATATGCGTTTATTTGCCAAATTAGACATAAAAAAACTTTTAATTTCTCAAGTTGACAGAAATTTCTCATTGTCATAGAAAACATTATTATACTTCTATACTAATATCTATATGGGAATGCTATAATGAGATGAACAATAAAAAAATACATATTTTCTAAAAAAATTTCTACCAATGTGTTAAATACAATATCAAACTGTCTAAATACATTAATATTACTAATAAATTTGATTTTTATGTTGTATTACTAAAAAATGTTATAATTGCAAAAATATTACTATGAAGAAGGAAATATTACTACTAAATTGAGTACTCTTATGTGTAAATATTCAAACATGTTTTTCTTCTTTTTAACACATTTTAAACATTTTTAACACGTTTAAACATGTGAAATATAGTAATATTGTTTTTTTTATTATATTTTAAGAACATGTGTTAAATGTGCTATACACGTTTTAGACATATTTGATATTATTTTTTTATTTGTCATACTTAGTAAATCTGGTAGTCCAATTTTATTATGTTTCATTTATAGTTCAAACCAACATATATATTAAGTTTTAAACATACAAAAACCAAAATCCTTAAATAACATTTTTAAGTTCTCAAATATGACATAACTATTACATTCTAAGCTTTTGTTTTATGCTTCTTCTTTCGCCCACCATTAAATAATTACAGCTTTTGAGGAGCTTTATATCTCACACTTAGCAACACCATTCTAAGCCTTTGTTCACGTGAGATTGAAATTCTACTAGGAGACTTGATCATCAGTACGTAAAGATCTTTATGCTTCCTGCACTGAAGACCAAAACAAAACAAACCCGTACCGACTTCAGTTTCTTGAAAACAAACCAAGACGACATTGATAAGTAAATCAAGACACGGTGACATTAAAAGCACAGGGACAAAAGAATGTCTTCAGTTCAGTGATTAGTTTAATCTTCTATGTCTCAAACTTTTATCAAAAAGATACGAACTGTATTATAAAAACCCCTTTGGAAAAGGTCAGACCACAACAGAAATTGATTATGGGACTTAGACCACCTCCAACGGTGGTGCTAATTAGAGGTTCTACAAAAAAAGGCCAGAAAAATAAATCGAAAATGAAATAAAAGAGCAAAACCGGTTCTGAATAGATATGTTGTGTTTGTTGCTGGTAAGGGTTTCTTCGTCTAGGATTTTGATTTTGTTTTTTTTTTTAGTGCAGAAAAATTCGCAAGTTGATATTACTACACCAACGAACGACACGTGTTCTCATCTTTTCAACCGTTCCAACACAGAAGCAGTTGGCGCCTTCTTCCTCAACACGTCACCGTTTTCTCTCAACAACAATGGCGATCAAACTCATTTCACTCTTCACTCTCTTCTTACTCACTCCATCCTTAAGCCTAGATGACGAATCCTTCCTCCCGAAATTTTCATTCAGTTGGTCGGACGACAAGAACGAGTTTCAATCTGGTGAAATCGCCCTAATCTCGATCAAAGTTCTTGGAAACTTCGAAACCAGTGGGAACGCTTCGTTAGGACAGGGAGCGTTTAAGCCGACACTTACCGTCAACAGCAAAACTGGTAACAGTACATACATTACTGGCGTTTCGCTGGATCTTGGTGACGATGTTAGCACGTGGAAGATTTCTTTTATTCCCATCATGGTTGGAGTTTTCAACATCGTTATAGAGGATAAAACTTTCAAAGTCTTGGATTCGTCGTTACATTTTGAAGTCGAACCAGGTTCGGTTTCTTTGAATTAATCAGTGCGGGCAAAACACCTAGTAGTTATTAATTAATTAATTGTTGTTTTTTTTTGTTTTAACTCGTTTGTGAAGGGTTAATGCACCCATCTGTAAGTGTTGTTTCATGGATGGGACTAAACAACGTGTTTGAAGCTGGGATGAATGCATCCATCTTGATCCTTCCAATGGATGCATTTGGAAACAACATTTCCTTTTCCGGAAAGGAGATGGAGATGGAGCTGCAAGGGTTTTCCTTGTCTCTTCTCTATGAAAACGGTTCATTTGCTACCGTTTTCAATACAACACATATCAGATGGATGGAGTCTGGTTATATCTCCATTGAGTTTGTTCTTGTGACTGCTGGAAAATTCTTATTGCTTGTGGAGAAAGAAAGCCAAACACTGAATGGTGTTCCTCTACCTCTACAGGTTAATTCAGGTGTGTGATTTGAATATCTCTATAAACATTTTAGTTTTTTAAACAATTTAGTAAAAAAAAATTTAATTGTTGGTTGATAAATATTAATTTTTAAGTCAATGTTTCACTCTGCTGTGCTCAGGACCGGCTCTGAATAGCTGATCAATCTTTTGCCATGTTTGTTGGTTTAAAGCAGGGTCTCTAGATGTTTCAAATTGTGTGAGCATATGGAAGTCAGAGCTAAACACATGGCAGATATTTTCCAAAATGGAGATCCTGTTACACCAGAGAGACCAGTTCGGAAACCTAGTTTCCGGATTTTACGAGTTTGATGCTGATGTGGTTGGGAAAGAGAGTGGTTTGTCCATACCAGTAGCAGATTTCCAGTTTGAGTATGTAGAGCAAGGGATCCAGTTGATGTCTTTCACCTTGTCTGAGCCAGGAAACTTCTTGCTCACTCTTTCTGATATGGAGCACAATAAGAGCATCTCTAGTATGCCTTATGAGTATACAGTCTATATAGGTCAGTGTTTCCAAATTGAATCAAGTCTGGTGAATGTTTCTCTCCTCTCATTTCTTTTTCTTGACAGGTTATTGTGATGGATCAAGAAGTATTGTGAATGGTTCAGGGCTCAATGCTTCTATTGCTGGAGAGTCTCTTGACTTCTCTATTTACCTTAAAGATGCTTATGGTTATCCCTCATCAGTCCAAGTGAATATACTTCTGGTTCAAATTATACTAGAGGCTGATTCCTCTTATGTTTTGCCAACCATAAAGCCAAGAGAGACTCTCAATGGTACCAAAGTATCAAGTCACCCAGTTTCCTTCTTACCGGCTTCTAGTAGCTTACTTACTCAGGCGAGTATCTTTGATGTAACTTATACTCCAAAACAGAGTGGAGTTTATAAGATCTTTATAACCTCTGGAAACGTAGTCCTCAATGGAGGCCAACCTTTCATCAAGGAAGTAAAAGCAGGTATGATTACCGTGATTTTCACAAATAGATACTTCTTGGTTTGTGATCAGTACACTCTTGTTTTCTCTTAGGTGATGTGAATGTGGCAACATGTAGTGTGACACAATTCAATCAAAAAGTGCCAAAGGAAATCAAGAATGATATTGTGGTCTTACTAGTGGACAGCTTCAACAATCCTGTACCTTCGCAGCCATCTCGGTTAAAGCTGGAGATTACCTCAGCTAACACATCAAGTTTCACTACATGGAAGTTTGTTGATAACACTGATGGAACATATACTTGTAGCTATCTGGCCATGGATGTTGGTACTTACCAAATGTGTGTGTCCTTTGACGATAAACATATCCAACCTTGCCCCTTTGACGTCAATGTATACAGCAGTAAGTACTTTTACTTTTATTTCTTTCACTTTAATATGTCTTTGAGATTCTCCCTTGACTTCTTAGGTGGATACTTTCCAAAGGCCTATGATGACGAAGTTAACGTGTGGGAAGATGAGTCCATCTCTTTCTATCCTCTGGAAAACGACTACTTTGCTGGGGACAATGCTTACATTGTTGGTTTTTCACAAGTGAGCATCTCTGCTATATTTTGCAGATAGTGACAATCTCTGTCTTTGAATTAATTTGTTGTGTTCCTGATGTTATTAGCCAGGTCATGGTTCTCTTCTGAGAGATGGAAGCCTTCTTAGATACACACCAATCAGGGACTTCTCCGGAAACGACTCTTTTCCTTACACAATAGTTGATATCAATGGAAACTTAGGGATAGCTACAGTATACATCCTTGTTCTTACTGCTCCTCCTCAGTTTGTTTCCTTTTCTGGAGGATTGCAAGCAACTGAAGATCTAATTAGTCCTAGATCAGGGCAAGTACTCTTCATTTTCTTTGTCTTTAATCCCCACTTTTCAGCTATAGTAATCTTATTCTTGAATGTTAATTACAGTGGCTTCTCTGGTCTGGAGATAAGCTACTCAGACAAGCTGGAGAACATTTCAGTTACAGTACAAGCACTTTCAGGATTGGTCATGCTGTCTCCAATGCTGATGCAGTTTAGGCCACCTGGAAGTGGAAGGCTCTTAGTTAGAAATGGTGGTGAAGATGGAAGGCTTTTGATCTTAGAAGGACAAATAGGAGTTATCAATCCTGCACTTAAGTCAATTCAATATCTAGGGTATATATATATGGAATCACAGATACTCTTACTTGCGTCACAAGAAAGCTTTCTAACTTCTCCCTTGTTTGTTTTCTTTTGGCCTCAGGAACGAGAACTTTGCTGGTGTTGATTCTCTTCGGCTAACTACAAGGAACAAGAATGGGATTAATCAACTGGATGTTCCTGTTTTCGTTGAACCTGTCAATACTCCACCGTTTATTAATGTCCCTAACTATATAATGCTAGAGAGTAATGGGACAGAGTCACTTATCTTTCACAAGGAAAGAGACAAGTTCAACTTCTCAGTTGGAGATCCAGATCTTGCTAGTTTCCCTGGTAATGTTAACAACAAGAGCTTCACTCTTGATCACATTTTAACAACAATCTTAAATAGCACTAAATTATTATTGTTTGCTCAAAAAATAGCACACAAAAGGGGAGAATTCTCAGAATTGCTTAGGGTTTAGAGTAAAAATGTAAAAATAAATATATTTATATATTTGACTTTAGGGTTTAGCGATTATAAATAGTCTAAGGTTTAGTATTTAGCGGGTAAGATTATGATTTAAGATTTAGGATATAAGATAATTTAATGTTTTTATTGATTAATAAATGCTATTTTAGAAATTCTATTTGAATGTTATTTTTGTGACAAAATTCTAAAAAAAAAAAATGCTATTTAGTATATTTGCCCATGTTTTTTTGACTGGTGAAATATTATATCAGGTGGTGAAGCTCATTTCTTAGTAACGTTTTCTGTGGAGGTTACTGATGGGTTTCTGCTGACAAACTTACCATCCGAGCTTATAAACTCAACAGAGCTAAAGTTCAAAAACTTATTCAGGTGGCAGCCAATTCAGACATACGCTGCCATTTCTAAACACGTGAATGTTAAAGCTAGTGGGATCAGGATTCGTGGAACAATAAATCAATGCAATGACCTCATGCAATATCTGCGCCATCATGTAAAACTCAATCACCTATCTTTTAGTTTGAATGTTTATTGGTTTCTTGATATCTTTATTAGAAAATATCGTGTAGGGAGGAGAGAACGGGGCTATCTTGACTTTGAAAATGAGTGACATGGGGAATTACGGGTGCTTTCTTGATTGCACTGAGAGAATTTCACTGCCTTTACACGCGGTGGCTCGTGTAAACCTCATTAGAAAGAGACCCTTAAGTTCCCTTGCAGCTCACGGTACGTGTCTGAAAAGACTTTGGAGTTGTTTTGATTTGGTTTGGTTTAAAATACCTTTTTTGTCACTTGGTGGCAGTTCTAGGATCTGTGATAGTGGTGGAGTCTCTTGTGGTATTCTCTCTCGCTACTGTGCTTCTTTTCTTCACTTTCAAGTTTCAAATGCGCATTTCTTCTCCTACACGAGAGAAGAAGCCAACATAGTGTTCACATGAATGCGCAGAAACCAACGGTGGTAATTGATGACTCATCTTTCTTGTGTGTTTCTTACAGTCATTTGTGTCCAAACATAAACAAGATATGTCTCTCTTCTGGTTCAGGACAATGCTGAATTGTTAAATGAAAATGTTTCAACAAGAACAATCACTCATTGTTTCCCGGAGAGTATGTGGAATAGACAAGTCGGCGAAACTTCAGCTAAGCAGAAGAAGGAGTTGCCAGAGATTAACATTGTTCCGTTCGAGCTAGAGAAAGGCTAAAAGTTGATGAATCTTAGCCATCATGATCACGTACACTCAAGTAATTAGGATAAAGAATCTCATGAAAGGTGCAAAATAGATGCATAATTAATATAAAATCATATATATAGGCTGTGTGATCATGGCTTTTAAGTAAATTCTAACATCTCCTTATTTTGTAAGCAGTTCTCATCACAAAACCAAACATTGCTTTTTTCATGCTTTTGTTGTTATACGCTTCTTTCTTATTTGATATTCCCTCTCTTTTTATATCCCAAAGTTGCTGCAACATTACAGTTTTTCTAAGTTTCTGCAAATTCGTATGATTTTGGATCAACTTAAAAAAATGATTTCCTTGATGGAGTTTAACTCCAATTTACCCACTTAGTGTCTTAGTGATTTTTTTAATATTTAAGTGTAGTTAAGGGGTTTTGTTAAAAGATCTTTAATTTTATTAGTTTATATTGGTGGTATCTTAATTAGAATTTAGGCATAAATGTTGAAGTGACAGGTTTGTAAATAATTTTTAAAACAATGGGGATTCTGTGCTAATAGTATTGATATTAGAATTGTCATCATAGCTATATAAAAGAAGAAAATACATATTGAATCAACTATCAACACTGCCAGTTTTATTGATTTGTATGTTTTTTCCTTTTCATTTCTAGTCTAATAGTAAACCAAGTTTCAAAAAAAAAAAAAAAACTCCCATTAATAAATTAATAATATCTGCATTTGTATATATGATTTGAGCAGTGGAGAACAAATAACTGGTGAGATGGCTATAGAAACAGCTTGGTACTGAAGAATAATCCACATCCAGATTCTAGCAATCCTGATATCGAAAATCAAGTAGATTGTGTTTCAAACAGTTGAAATACATGGGCGTAAATCGCAAATTAGCATACCTGGGTTCTTTTCCTAAACTAACTAGAAGTTTAGGGGTTTTCCTTAATTAATAAAAACATTTTATTCTTTTTTGGTTTGGAAACCCACCAAGCCGTGGTAGAAAGGCGTTGAAACTTTCAAACTTAAAGGGGCTTTAAAGGATCCGTATCCGATAACCCGTATTCGGATCCGTTTTAAACGCTCCTTTAGATGAATGAACGGTGATTAATATATATAGACGTTACAAATCTCCTCTCATCCAACGGCTATTATTCATCTAAAATTCAAATTTCACCTACTCACTCGTCTCTCGCACTCGCTCTCTATTCGATTGGATTCTTGAGCGGATCCGCCATGGAAGGTACTATTCTCGATCTCTTGATTGATCTCTCGATTCGTATTGTTGATTCGAAACGAAACGATTTCGCTGAATTTTTTTTTTTTTTTCGGTTATTGTCAGATCAAAATCTAGAAAATCGCAGCGATGGTGAATCGAAGGAATATTCTGCTGAAGATCACGATCTCGACGCTGGTAAGGTTTTTTTCTCGTCGCGGATTTTGAATTTTTAGTGCAGAAAATCGGAAGCTAATCTGAGTTTTTATTCGATTGATTGATCATTTCGTTGATTGATTGTAGATAATCTGAATCCGTTATTTTCCATGTTGTTTTAGATAGTTTCTTCGTGATGGAGGCCAATTAGGTTTTTAGAAGGTTAGAATTAGGGTTTAGAGTTCATTAACTTATTTGATGAATCTGAAATTCAGTGAGAAAAGTAGAATGAAATTGATTTTGTTGTGTGTTGTCTCCTTGCTGATTTGGCTGAAAACAGTGGAAGAGAGTGAGGACTCTGTTACAAGTGGAAGAAGCCAACAAGTTTCTCCTAACGGTGGACCAACACTACCAATTCTTCAGAAAATTATTGATTTGAGTAGCAAAATCAAGGTGGCTCCCTTTCTTTATCAAAACTTGCTTTTGAGTTGCAATATAAAGTTGTTTTATGTTCATAGGTCTTGAAGGATGAGCATGCTTTGGTATCCAACCAAGTGAAAGAAATGAATATTTGTTCCTTTGTAGAACCGGAAATGTCACAGGCTCTTCAGCTTCTGAGTCAGTACACCTTTGTTTTAACTTTTTCAAGGCTTGTTTTGCTATTTGTAATTGATGTGTGTGTTCAATGGCAGCTACTGAGCTTGGAACTCTGAAAAAGCAGTACCTGGAAGAGTCATCAGAGAGGAAGCGGTTATATAATGAAAATATTGAACTCAAGGGGAATATCAGAGTCTTTTGCAGATGCAGGCCTCTAAACCAAGCTGATCTAGCAAATGGATGTGCTTCTGTGGTTGAGTTTGATGGGTCCCATGAAAACGAGCTTCAACTACTTTCAACCGATTCTTCCAAAAAGCATTTTAAGTTTGACCATGTATTCAAGCCTGAGGATGGGCAAGGTGAAATTGAGGTGTTACCTTTGACATTTGAAAACTACGTCATTGAGTCTTCTTACTTGACTGTTCCCTTTATGTGCAGAGACTGTTTTTGGACAGACAAAACCTATAGTTACTTCTGTGCTGGATGGTTACAATGTCTGCATTTTCGCCTATGGCCAAACTGGAACTGGGAAGACATTTACCATGGAGGGAACACCAGAAAATAGAGGAGTAAACTACAGGACATTAGAAGAACTGTTTCGCTCTTCAGAAAGTAGAAGTCGTCTCATGAAATTTGAGCTAACTGTTAGCATGTTGGAGGTTTACAATGAGAAGATAAGGGACCTCTTAGTTGATAACTCAAGCCAACCTCCTAAAAAGTAAGTCCTTCACTCTCTTGCTTTGCAATAGAATTAAAACGCCTCACTGTATCTCTCTGTGTGTCTGTGTTGAATTAATGAAGGTTGGAAGTTAAGCAATCAGCAGAAGGAGCTCAAGAAGTCCCTGGATTAGTCGAAGCCCAAGTTTTCAACACGGACGAAGTGTGGGATCTTCTCAAGAGAGGCTATTGCGTTAGATCAGTGGGATCAACAGCTGCAAACGAGCAAAGCAGCCGCTCTCATTGGTAATGCAAAAGGGTCTGGAAACAAAAGTAATGGGAAACGAAACCTTACTCATACAACCAACGTTTTCTTTTTCTTGTGCAGCTTGTTGCGAGTGACAGTGAAGGGAGAGAATCTGATCAATGGCCAGAGAACCAGAAGCCATCTCTGGCTGGTGGACTTGGCTGGAAGTGAGCGAGTAGGTAAGGTAGAAGTTGAAGGAGAAAGGCTGAAAGAATCTCAATTCATCAATAAGTCGCTTTCAGCACTCGGTGATGTTATCTCCGCCCTTGCATCCAAAACAAGCCACATTCCTTACAGGTTTCCCCGCTTCTTCCCCTCTCTCAAGCCATTTTCATTTGAATGTTTGTGGTTTGTTTTATTGAAAAACTTTTCTCTCCTTTTCGTCCGCAGAAACTCAAAGCTCACTCATATGCTACAAAACTCTTTGGGTAAGTAAAACTTGTACTATATATTCCAACATGAGCCATTCGAAATCTTGTTTTTCATTTCTATGGTGTGTTCATTTCACTATATAGGTGGAGATTGCAAGACGTTGATGTTTGTTCAGATTAGCCCGAGCTCCGCTGATCAAGGAGAAACACTTTGCTCCTTAAACTTTGCAAGCAGAGTTCGCGGAATCGAAAGTGGACCTGCCCGGAAACAGGCGGATGTATCTGAACTCCTCAAGCTAAAACAAATGGTAACGTGATTCCTCTGAACTCATATTCATATAAGCATTAACATATCTAAAGCTGAATCTCCTTTTTGTTGTCTCCTTTGTAATTAAAAGACGGAGAAGCTGAAACAGGAGGAAAAGGAAACGAAAAAGCTGCAGGATAATGTGCAGTCACTACAGCTACGTCTCACTGCTAGAGAACATATATGCAAAGGACTTCAAGATAAGGTAGTCCGCTTTTAACTACAGTAATAGGGTTTAATCTGTTTAATGTTCTCTTCTCTTAAAGTTCTAAATCATGTTTCAGGTTCGTGATCTGGAATTTCAACTAGCAGAGGAAAGGAAGACCAGAATCAAGCAGGAGACACGAGCTCTAGCGACTGCATCATCATCTAGACAACTACCGACAATTACAGAGAAAAAGCCACCGTTGGCTCCCACAAGATCAATGAGAATGCCACTCAGAAGAATCACAAACTTCATGCCGCAACAACCATCACAGATTCCTACAAAGAGATTCTCAGACGCAACAAGCAAAGAGAATAATAATAATAATAACAACGACAGCTTCAGAAGAAGATCATCATCCGTGGATATCAACACACTAATGAAACCAAGAAGAAGCTCCATCGCATTCAGACCAGCTCCTCCTCCACCATCAGGTAATAACAGTAAAACACTCCAGCCGAGAAGGAGAGTCTCTATTGCGACGTTGAGACCAGAACCATCATCTTCTTACATGAACATGACCACTCCATCACGTCCTGCGTTCCGTGGCGGTGGTGGTGACCCGAGAAGGGGGAGATACTCTAAGCTCTTCTCTCCAGACCACAGTTTTGCGACTCCTAATGCAATGAAAGGTAGCAGATTCAAGAAGAGCCCTCTTGGAGGAGGAGGGAGTACGGTGGTTGCGTTGCAGAAGAAGCCTGTGGTGTGGAGCCCGCTTAAGTTCAAGAACAGAAGACCATCTTTCATAGCGATGCGAGCTTCTTCTTCTTCTTCTGCCACCGATTTGGTTAGGAGGGAGCAGTAGTGATCCTTTTTTATTCGCTGTCTTTGTGAAAGTGTTTGTTTACATTCTGGTTGTCTGTTAAAATAGGGTTTCTGTTGTTTTTGTTATTAATCTTCATTCGATTTGTTAACTATATACCTCTATTGAGAAACCTTGTGTTATGGTTTTTATATACGGGAGAATTTAAACCTCGGCTCAAATGCATAAGAAGAAACAATAAAACAGAGTGCCTAGTGTCAGAAACAAGTAATGACTCATAATGATTGTGTTTGTGTTCTTCCTCCCTGTAAAACCAAACAGTTTTCTAACTTCCCTTGTCAGATTGATGATATGTTTTTAGCAAGTCAACATCATTGTTTCCTCAATTGATGGTCGTTTGCTGATGAAATGTTGAATTTAGCCGACAAATCTCCTAAAGATTCATGTTTTGCGCCTAAATCAACGGCATCAGTAGCCAGACTTGGTAAGCTTCAACTGCAACAAAGCTTAAGAGGTCGTTCTCACCATCAAGAACCAGAGAAGTATGGAGAAAACAGAGCAAACAGAAACATGATCCCAACACAAAGGAAACAGAAGTTCTTTTTGTTTATTGATGAAACTCAACACAAATGTCTATTATGACTATATGTTCTCTTCTTTTCTTTTGTCCCTAAATGTTTGTGTTGCTACAGATCTCGAAAAAAACACATTAATCTTCTAAAAAAAACATTAACTCTCGTTTAAACTTAGGACTGATAAACAAACTCAGGTCTGCGAACAAGAGATTTGCTTATATCTTCTTTCGCGTTCGCACACTGGCTTCTTCCTTCTCAAATCTTCTCAGGCAGAAGCGCTCTTTCTTGCTGCATACACACGGTATGCAGCCAGTCCAACGACCACAGCAGCAGCTCCAACTGTTTGTATGAAGTTTTTTGTTAGGAGTTTTGTTTATTCGTAAGAAAAAATTTGTGTCAAGATTCAAGAGACTGTGGAAGAAAACGTACTTGAAACAGCCATAAGAGAGCGGTTGATTAGCCTGTTGTAATGTTTGCGGCTTTTTCCTGCTTCCGTCTCTGGAATACTCAGATGAGGATGTTGCGCTGCAGTTATGATCTTGCGGAATAAGTTGTTGAAATCTCCCAATTTCGAGCTGATGGATACTGGAGGCTCTATTCCCATATCTTGTGTCACCTGCAAAAAAGATTCGTGAACTTTACAGTTATTTGAGCTATTTTTATTGACTCAGAGATCAATAAGAACCCTTACTCTAGTGGATTCTTGTATGCAAAGTGGGAAGGAATCAAGATCGTCCTTTGCTGAAACCATGAGGCAAGGAACCTCGTATCCAGTGGCTTCGCCGTGAGTTGCAACTTCTACAAGCAACTCAGTCGCTCTCTTCCATGAGGACTCATCAGAACTGGAGGGAAAGCAAAGTCAGAGAATGACAAGGCATCTACTTAAGCATGTTTTAACCAATCAAACAGAAAGAAACATTACCTGTCATACACGAAGACAGCTATGTCACATGCAGCCAACGATTCCTTGGATGAAAACAACTCTTTAGCCCCATCGTCTGGAATTTCCCTCATCACAAGAGTTTTCTTCGCATTCTACACCCAGAGAAATGCAATTATCAGATTAATGAGCAGATTACATACATAAAGTAGACAAAGGTAATCTCCCAAAAAGCAGCACATCTGAAAAACTTATGTTTAAAACGCAAGCGTGTGCCTATAGAACAATTCATCAATAAATATCTATCACTCAAGTTTGCCATTCTTGTTCAGTATTGTGCACATACATCTTCATGCGCACATAAATAAACACATACATAATGAGAGTTCCACTCACCCCAGAGTCATCGACCATATTTACTGCATAGCGCTCATCAGTGGTTGATCCCTGGTTTTCATATGACCTAGATCATGAAGAGACATAACTGTAAACCATATGAAGTCATCTAAAAAAAAAGAGGCAATTTTTCTGCTCTACAATATGCAAACGTCTCCATGCATTAAAAAATGGAAATGATTATTATCTTTTCTGTTTATATTTATGAAATGCAATAAGTTTCGGTACAAACCTTCCAAGAAAGCAATTCAGTAATGCAGATTTTCCAGCGTTATTAGGTCCAAACACAAAGCACTGGAAAACTTTTCTTTCAGATTGTTGCTTTTTGCGATCTAAACGTCTTCTCCTTGTAAGACGAATGGCAGAAGAAGGATCACCAGGGAATCCAATGTAAATCAAATATTCCACACTCTTAGCTGGTTCTAATAATGCCATCAGTGACCACTGCAAGGAATGATTAGAAAAACATAAAAATGTTGTTAACTGATTCAATGAACAACTTAGTAAAACTAGGTTCCAAACAATAAATATAAGATCCAATGATAAGATGTAAAAAGATAAAAAAATGTGATGGCATGCATACAAAATGTTTCCTTTGTTGAGCATGTGAAAGAGGAGAGTACTTATTACCAGTGACAGGAAAGCGTCAAACGATAGTCCTCCAAGGGCAGTTTTCTCTGCAGCACCATCATACGGAGCATCTTTCCAAGGACTGACATTCATAATTTATTGTGGCTTTGTAATGAAGTGGTGATTATTATAATCAAAATTACATGTTCTTTGCTTTCCTGAGGTGGAAAATGTACCTTTCAGGTGCAGTTGAAAAAAGATCCTCAATCTCTTGAGGTCTCAGATTATTATCCTGCAAAGTGAAAACTCATTATGACAACCATTATAAACTGCAACCTAAGCCATTAGTTAAAAGAAAAGGGAGAATCACCTCATCGTCATCAAACATCATAAACACTCCTTTCAAGAATTCGATTGCTACATCTGTCAACTCAACACTCTACAAAAACAATGAACACAACCATTAGCTACACAATGGCAAAGAAGGCAAGTTATTGTGAATAAAATGTATCACAGCAATGAAACTAGTACGCATCCAAATTTTTTATTTCTGTTAAAATTCAAAACACAGATTCGATATACAGCTCGTCCAGTTGTAGATGACTGCCAAAACCAATAAACACAAAAAAAAAAAACAATGAATTCCGTCACTGCAATTTACCTGATCAGGTGTTCGTTTGAACAATGAAGGTGGAAGCAATTCATCAGCAAGTCTTATATCATTATTATACCCGAACTTCCTAAGTACAGTCCATGTTGTCTCGAGCCTCCCTTTCTCAATAAAAAGTGCATGTAGAAACAGGAAGCCAGTCACTGTTAGTCCTCTTTCATTCACACCTTCTGGCAACTTTTCTTGCACAACCCTCTTAACACCTTCAATTTCAGAAGGCTGCAATGGTGCATGAAAGCACTTGACCTATTTGGAAACAGCAATTGGGTGTCATCGGATAAGAGGTTCATAACTTCTTTGAAAACCTGAAGGATAGGCCAGAGCCAATTCGATGAAGAAATAGCCGAAACACAAGAAGAGAAAATAGAACCTGAAAATCATTTAACTCAGCTTCGCTAAGAGCACCATCTCTGTCCTGATCACAGAGTATAAAGATACGCTTCAAGGCCCTTACACACCGGGGCTTCAATGATTGGGTTTCTTGATCGAACAGAGGTCCAGTTGGGTGAAGGACAGTTTTTTGCGCATAGTAGAAAACTTCTTGTGCCTACAGGAACGCGTTTTTATCAGCAAAATAGTTCATAGTTCAGGCCTGAAATGTAATTTATAATTCCCATTCTAAAGTTGTTTTCTGACTAGGCATTCCAATTCATCCTTGATAAAAGTGCAAACCAATCACGATAGTAACCACTTCAAGCGAACCAATTGCACAACTGTCCTTGAAGTTTCTTAGTAAAACAATCACATGCCTAAGCTACCTCAGATCAACTTTCGTGCTATGTTCAAGCTAAGACAAATATAATATCTCAGGAGGAATAACAGAATTCATGAAACCTGGAGTTGCTTTAGGGCAGAGCACTCGATGCAAGTCTCAATCTCCCGAAACTGCTGCATTATAGGTGACATCACTTGTTCGAGGCTGACCGGGTTATTGTCGTCTCTGAAGTCAAGCTTACAACCTGCTACTATTATAGGAACTTTTACCTGTTAAGAAAAAGATCACAAGGCAATAAGAACCAGTCAAAGCTTAAGAAAATCAACAAGATTGACATGAAAAGCTGAAAACAGAGAGAATAAAACCAAACCTCTAATCTCCGAAGCTCTGGAAGCCAGTATGTAGTCAAACCTTCAAGTGTCTCAGGTCGGTCACAGGCATATGTCAAAACCACTGCATCTGCCTGCTTCAATTCCTCAGCAACCATGTTCCTATCTTCAGGCCTGTAGCCACAAGCATAATAATCAAAATATACATCAATAAAGCTTCCAAAGCATGAATACCCTAAACCCCTTTCTCGGTACATCAACAAAGCTACCAAATCATATGAATACCCTAAACAGTTGACACAGTGATATCCCCACATCGATAGCATAAGAGCTAATAACATTCTTTCCAGTTTCATTTTATAGCTTAAACAACTCTACATAACGACACCCATATGCCTTAAGGTAACTTTCCTCTATCATCATCACTATCCTCCAACCTAACCTCTTCCAAAAAAAAAAAACACCCAGAAATGCTCTTTCTTCAAGTCAAAACATATATAACCAAAAGCCTTAAAAAACTACACAAGGTCCACTTTCCTCTGCCACACCATAAGCAACATTCTTTTTCTACAGTCTACACTACACTTGCACCACTATCTTTCAAGTAACCTTTTCCAAGAAAAAAACACCCAGAAATGCTCTTCTTCATGTCAAAACATATATAACCAAAAGCCTTAAAGACTACATAAGGTCACTTTCCTCTCCCATCACCATAAGCAACATTAATTTATGTACAGTCTACACTAGCCTCACTATCCTTCAAGTAACCTTATCCAAAGAAAATGTTACCCAGAAATGCTCTTCTTCATGTCAAAACATATACAACCAAAAGACTTTAAAAAACTACACAAGATTACTTTCCTCTCCCATCACCATAAGCAACATTATTTTATCTGCAGTCTACACTAAAGCATCACTATCCTTCAAGTATCCTTATCCAAAAAAAAAAGTTACCCAGAAATGCTCTTCTTCATGTCAAAACATAAATAACCAAAAGACTTAAAAAAATTACACAAGGTCCACTTTCCTCTCCCATCACCATCAGCAACATTCTTTTTCTACAGTCTACACTAACATCACTATCCTTTAACTAGCCTTATCCAATCCAGCAATTTTCTCATCTTCATGTCAAAAAACATATATAACGAGAGAGAGATATATACATATATACCTTGAGGAAGTGTCAACAATGGTGACAGGTATACCATCAGGGAAGAACTCAAAAGGGAGCTTAGTATCAGGCAAAACAGGAGGCACATTGGGAGGGAAAGAATCAGTAGCTGCAGCAACAATCAAGCTTGATTTTCCAGTTCCTTTGTCACCAACCACTACGATTCTCACTGATTTGAGTGAGCCAGGACAATCAATCGCAGCCATCAGAAACAACTGCAATCAAATTTAAAAAAAAAAAAACCACGATTTAACCTAATTGTAACTGACTCTCCACCAGAAGATTCAGTAATCGAGACTTAGACAATACTTAAACTCAAAGAACCATAAGCTCGAGAGGATAAAACTAAGCTAAGATCGAAGATTAGATAACTGCAAAAACTGCACATCAAATTAAAAAAAAAAAAAAAAAACACGATTCAACCTAATTGTAACTGATTCTCCACCAGAAGATTTAACAATCGAGAGTTAGAAAATATTTAAAGTAAGCTAAGATCGAAGATTCGATAACTGAAGGGAGAGATAAGGCCTGACCTGAGGTGTAGATCGAGAGAGGCGGAGGTGAGTAGATGCCTCTAAGTTGTGAAAACCCCTTGGAAAACCCTAAAGTTTTGGGGGAGGAATGTGGCGGTGACGACGAGGAGGCGATATATCACATAGAAAGCTTTTTCTATTCTAGTGGCATTTTCCGTAAATATCACTAACTGTAATTATTTTTTTTTCATTTTTTTTTACAACCATGCATAAATCATTTTTTCTGATTTTTTTTTGGGCAATTATCTCAAATAGCACTTTGTAAGTTCTTATCACAAAAATAGAACTCAAAAATTAAAATGACCAAAATAGCATTTTTTTATTTTGAAAATTTTAAGTTTTTTCTATTTTTAAAAATTTGAAACCCTATCCACAAAACCTCACTCCTCAACTCTAAACAAAAAAATTTAGAATTAGTTAACCGAAGGGATAAAAATGTATTTTTAATAAAACATTAAGTGCTATTTTAGTCATTTTTATTCTCTAAGTGCTATATTTGTGACAAAAACTTTTTTTAGTGTTATTTTAGTCATTTTCTCTTTTTTTTTTCTATTTAGTGAAAGTGTGGTTGTGTTTTAACATTCAGGAGTTTTAGTGGAAGTTGGATTTTATATGGAGAGGTGATTTTAAAATTTGAAAAGAGTTGAGAATGGTGGAAGCACCGTAGCCTAGTGGTTAAGGTTTAAAGGCTTCTACACCAGGTCTGGGGTTCGAATCCCAGACTACGCAGTTCTTACACCAAGAGGGTTTTAATTCCCGAAGAAGATGAATGGCGAATTATGCAGATTGAAGAACGCTTACAGGAGATCTTCAGCATGGCGCAAGGCGTACCGTCAGGAATGGATCTCATAGGGCGGCTCAGGATGATGCAGTCAGACGTGAATCCGCATAAGGCAGGTAGAATTGTCGGCTGTAATATCGTCTATGTAATATTTCTCATAATTTGTAATGCATGATTATCCAGTGTTAAAAAAAAAAAGAAAAGAGTTGAGAATTTTGCATATTGTAATAATCTATAAAGAAATTATTATAACAGTATAAAAATTCAAAAACTTTTGTCTAAAATTATAGAGGGGACAATTGGTTGGATTATAACTATAGAATTTCGTTTGTAGAATTTTTGGATGTAGATGTATCAATCTACATTCAAAAATTCTACAAACCAAATTCTACAGTTACAATCCAACCAAACTCCTTATTTGTTGTACTTAGAATTATACTGGTGGGTCCACCGCTGAATGTATCTAATGTACCTTAGATACTAAATGAGAAAAAAAAAGGAAAAAAATATATATCTGAGCATTATTTTTTTGTTTTAGAAAATAAGGCTCTTACAATTACTTTTTTTTTTACTTTAGCTTTAAAAACTATTTAAACTGTGATGGGTAATTTATATAGTTGTAGATATAAAATAAAATTAAAATCACTAGTTAAAACCCAACTAATCATCTCCAAAATCACTAATCGCTCAATCATTAACACTAAGATTTAGATTTTAGTGAAAAAGTGAGAATTTATAAAGACTATTAAATTCTAATAAGTTTTACAAATCTAACTCACACTAACACTCTACCATTAACATGACAAAATGAGTTTTTTGGCTGTGCTAACTCACACTAACATTAACATTGATATATGAGTTTTTTTGGCTGTGCTTAATCTATATTCTAAACTTAAATTGATTCTAGAAATTTGCACACTTTTCATCAAAGTAACCCGAGCGAATCACATACTCCTTATTTGTTGTACTCAATGCCGGTCTAACGTATTATAGTGTTCTAAGCCAATTCAGAAAATTATGCCTTTAAATCTCTATAATATTATTTGAAAAGTTAGTTTCCTATGTGTAGTTCTCATGTCAATTTTAAAGTAGTTAATTACAAAAATATTCTTAATCAATAAAAAAATATTATGCATAATGCCATTATTATAATTTTTATTTTATTTTCCTTTTTGTTTCATAATTTTTTGCTTTTATTTTCCTTTTTTATCTTATTGTTTTCTTAAACTACTAAAATATGAAAATTATATATGCATATATATAATTTCGCTATTTTATTTAATTAATAACGAATATATTTTTAAAGAAAATAATTTTTAAATATTTTACCTTAAATAATATTATAAATACTAAAATAAAACAACCAAAAATATATTATATATATATATAGGTTTAGATCAAAGTGGTGGTGTTAAGAGAGGTGGTGTTTTCAAGTGGAGTTTTACTGAAAATAGTTCACAGCCACTAGAGCAACCCTCCTCCTCCGAAGATCCCGCGGCGGCAGATGTTGATCTCCCTCTGGATATTATTATCCCTCTGGATGCTATTACTGTGATGTGATGTTATTGTCTTTTCTGTTTATATTGTTATTCTTACTTTTTATTACATTAGCTCTTTCGTTAAATTAACTGAACGTTTCTTATTATAAAACGAAATAATATCATTCAAGGTCACTTTTCATCTTTTAATATCATAATAGGTCACATTCTTTTACAAGGACACTTTATCTCAACTTTATAGTTCATTCTTAACTGAGTTAGTTTACTCTTAGAACAGAATTGACTAACCTAATTACATAAGTGGCAGGGTTTAACCTCAACCACACATTTCTCATATCTCTTTGTTTCTCTCCCTCTCTGTCTTTTCCAAATCTCTCCCTCTCTCCTCCATCATCATCTTCTTCTTCTTATTTAATGTTTCGCCATTGACAAAGACCACCTAAGAAAAGGTATGTTTCGCTAATCTCAATTTCTTATCTTTTTAAAATTGATTTCGACTTTCTTTCTCTTTAGAAGTATAATTTGAGTTTAATTGTTTAATTTCACTGAGACATTTGGGTGAATGGTATGAAGAACTTGTAGATTTTAGGGTTTGAGATTGATTGTGTTACTATGCTGTTTTATTTAATAACATTTAACAGAAACAAATCGTTTTTTTAGATTTTGGTGGTTTCCATTAAAGCTTAACGATGACAAGTATTCAACCACTGCAACAAAAATCTAGAGACTATGCTCGTGCCGATTTCGAGCGAGGTTTCAAGGAATTCATGCACGGACACGTAGACGATTGCATCTCATTCCGCTATGTTCACAACCAAGAAGACGAGGACGACGAGGATGATCAGCTTGTGCGGAGGAGACGAATATCGTCTCAAATTGAAGGTGATAACTTAGCTGAATCATCTAGGATACACCAAGCTCAGATTCTCAGCTGTTGGGCTGCAATGCAGGCTCAGGAGATGATTACAACCATCAAGAGAAGAAATTGTGAATCCAAATTGACTGTGTTTGCTGGTTTGCAAACCGTATCAATGCTTGATTCGTCTTTCCTCAAAGAACTCAGTCTCAGTCCACGAGGAGTCAAGGTTCTGTTGCTAGTGAGAGGCCTCGAACTTTTGATGATAACATGTTATTACTCTGCTAAACATATCCAACCTTTGGTTCTTCTATTGTTTTTCGATGATTTACATTGTATTACTCTGATAAACATATATTGTCATGTACATATGTACCACCCAGTGTTATGTACACTATCCTATATGTTTCTCCCCTCAAACTTGTACACAAATTATCTTTGTCCTTCAACACTTGAATATGTTAGTGTATATTTAGAACACACTCAAATCCCCCATCTCAGATACACATCCCATCTGCATATAGGCAATTATGTGTACATCTGCACGTGTTCACTTGTGTCCAAGTGTACAACGTTATTCATGCTTGTCTGTGTGTACATCGTTATTCATGATTGTCCATATGGACAAGGTCCATCATGTACATGCTCATCTTACCTAACAAAAAGCCAACTCATGCTTGTCTGTGTGTACATCGTCATTCATGATTGTCCATATGGACAAGGTCCATCGTGTACATGCTCATCTTACCTAACAAAAAGCCAACGAATGCTTGTCTGTGTGTACATCGTCATTCATGATTGTCCATATAGACAAGGTCCATCATGTACATGCTCATCTTACCTAACAAAAAGCCAACGATTAACAACACACAATTCCACTTGCATGGTAGATATACACCACACATCCATCACAAAATAATCTTCACAATAATTTTAAAATAACAAAACATAACGACCCAGTTTTCTTGTATGTGTATACATCGTCGTTTATGCTTGTCATGGTATATGTATACATTCTTATCATGGTATAATATTCCGTACTCATCTGGATCTACAAGTTTCAAAACGTGTACTTTGACTTAGAAGTGAGATAGTAAAAATATGTGTACACATTACCATAATATCACACTATCTAATTGAATAATTTTACTAGTTTCAAATTGTGTACAACCATACAATGTCCATATGTACACACAAATTTTGATATACATATATATATATATATACCATTTGTAAAGTTTGATGTATTTTATTAACTATTTTGATTAGTAACGGCCAATCCACTTATATGTGCATAGATTCACTACAAATATTAACGGGTTTATAACTTACCACAAACAACTACATTCTTTTTATCCACCATTTGATGTACATGTGTACACGTCAAATAATGTATGCAGCCAAATTTACATCCTTTGCTATCTAAAAAGTGTACACATACATGTACATATATATATATATATATACCATCTGTAAAGTTTGGTGTATTTTATTAACTATTTTGATTAGTACATATATACATGTGATCTTTTCCCCTTTTGGGAAATTATAATAAAAATTATTAAAATCATCATCATAACTTGAGCAATGTACAAATAAATTGGTGTACATATTCCCTTGTAAATTGGTACTGATCTAAACTGGAATATCTACATATTTAATGTTTATGTACACGAAGATAGTGAAATTGTATGAAGTCTATGTATTATCGTACAAATTATTTGTGTACATGTGAATCAATGTACATGTGGATACTAAATATACATGTGAATTAGTGTACATGTGGATACTAAAACATTTGTGTATGTAGCATAGTGTACATATCAAATGGCTTCAAACGTTCTAATTTCGTTTCTTTTGCGTAATTTGAAAACTTTAATAATATGTTTGTGATATTTTTATAGGTGATTACTTATGTTTTGCTTTAAAATATACTGGCTACATCATTAGATTAGTGGACTATGACTCATCAGATGATACTCAGGAAATGGAAAGAGTATTTTGCAAGTTAAGCTAAAACAAAAATGTGTACATTGTGTACATGTGAATCATTGTACAAGTTACATGGTGTACAAGTGAACGATGAATATGTGGATATTGAAATAATTTGTGGACATAATATCATTATAACAACATACACAATAAATGAATCATACCAGAGTGTGTGCTTTATATAACAAAGGTTACAATACACATTAATAAGTTTAGAGCAAAAACAAAGGTCATTTTTTCAAATTCAAAAGTTTGAAGTCAAAAATGAAAAAGTTAAAAACTTGAAGGACCAAATGTGCAAAAAACAGAAACGTAACCATTGTTGTTCTCAAGCTTTCACTCGGTATATCTGAGCATGGTGGAGGTGAATCTTCGATGACCAATGAGAAAGCGGAGTGGTGCTTTGCTGTAGGAGCTCGCCATCGAGCAATGATAGATGGTGTAGTCTTTTTTTTTTACAACAGCTTCACACATGAAAATTCAGGCAATAACAGAGAGTGTGGCCATTTAGTGCTTACAATACAGATCTGACCCTAATTTAGCGGCTACTGAGGAAGAGATAGACGGTGGTCGTTACAATTTGTTACTAAGCAAATGATGAATTAAATGAAAAAAACAAAAACATCTCGGATTACAATTTAGATCTGTAAAAATAATTGTGTGGGAGAAAAAAGAAGAAGAAGAACAAGACGAGAAAGAGAAAAATAAAAAATGGATCTTTCTTTGTTAAAACAAGTGGGTCATAGTAATCTATGATTTAGTTTGGTTTTGGTTAATGAATAATGAGAATAGTTAAAAGAAAGTGTGTCGGTAGTCATAAGTGTCTTGAAATGATATTAAATTTGATAAAGTGACTCTCAATGAAAATAATTTAGAGTTATTTTCATTCAAGGGCAGTTTTAAGTTTTTTATTTCACTATAGGGCAGTTAGTGCTCCTGAGGTAGTTTTTTAAAACCACAAGCTAACTATAGAGCAACTATGTGCATTCTCTTCTTGAAACTAAATAAGTTTTACAATTTTTTATTTTATTCTTTACTCTTTCTTTATAATATTTGAAACAATATTTCTCTCTCTCTCTTACAATAATTTTAATGGTTAAAAAGGATGAAAAAATGGAGAGCTCGTCACTTCAGTTTCAGCCCAGATCTGTGTAAAAGTTTCTCATTTTCTCATACTTCTCTGAATCTCATATTTGTCGTAATCTGTTTTGTCATCTTCTCCCACACATTAATTCATCTCGTCATCTTTTTCTTTTTCGTTTTTACAACAATCCTCGTGTGGTTACTTCATCACTCTCACCGTCACGACACTGTAAATGCTCGAGAACATCAATGGCTACTTTTGAGTTTTTTATACTTTTAGTCCTTAATATTTTGTATAATTTCGGTTTTAAACCAAAACTTATTAGTTGTGCATTTTGGTCCTTAACGTTTTCCAATGTTTCTTTGATTTATTTTAAATTAACCAATTATGTATTACAACCCTCTGTTAATGACATTAAGCAATATATACACATAATTAAATGCATTAGAAAATAAATTAAATGAACTAAAATCAAAGCTAAAGATCATTAGCATATGCATAACACACAAAATCATGTGTACATCTCTTGTCATGTACAAAATCAATTTTATCCGATTAAGCTCAAAACTGACTAGTTAGGTACTACAACTCTCTGTTAATGAAATTGGACAATATATGCACATAATTAATTCTTAAATGCAGTGGAAAATAAATTAAATGAACTAAAAAAAGCTAAAAATCATTAGATATGAATAAAATACAAAAGCTTGTATACACCTATTGTCATGTACACCATTTTCAGTTTGATTTGATCTATTTAATATGTATTTTGATATTATTTTAGTAAGTAACCACCAATCCACCTATATGTGTACAATTTCTTTACATATATTGGTCCATTGTCGATGTACACGTTTCAAAGTGTACACAAAATAACAATATATGCACATAATTAATTCTTAAATACAGTGGAAAATAAATTAAATGAACTTAAAAAGCTAAAAAATCATTGGATATGAATAAAATACAAAATCATGTATACACCTATTGTCATGTACACCATTTTCAGTTTGACTTGAACTATTTATTATATATATTTTAATATTATTTTAGTAAGTAACCACCAATCCACTTATATGTGTACAATTTCTTTACATA